TCTTCCTTTTTCCTGGCAAGCTCAGAGTACTCTCGTCGTTTGTGTCTGCCTGCGGCTCCTTTCTGGAGAGCTCCGACGCTCTGGAGGGCCAGGGCCAGGGTCCGTCCCCCTTCCCAGGGAGCGGCTGCGAGCGGGGGCCGAGTCGGACGGAAGAGGGAGGATGCAGGCATTGCCTCTCCTCGTCCTCCCCCTCCTCCTCCTCGTCCTCCTCCTCATCATCCTTCTCTTGTTCCTCCTCCTCCTCCTCCTCCTCCTCCTCCATTCCTCCTCCTTATAAATAACTTCTCCCTGTCGCATCCCCGAGGCCAGTTGTTAGGGCGGGCTGGGTTTCCTGGCACCCACAGTCTGGCGGGGTCCGAATGGAGGATGACGATTCATAAATGAAATGGGGGTCGTGTTCACGCGGCGGCGCCCGGGATGACGATCAGAAAAAACCGGCCGCGGGCTGGAAAACTATGTTTAAACATCGTTCTCGCCCGGTCAGAAAATTATGCAGAAATCGCAGGAAACTATTGTTTTAATCGATCTCTCCCATTTTTTAATTAATCGTCATCCCGCATTACCTACCACCCTCGTCAACGTTAACTTCCAGAATGGCGGACGTGCCCCTTCGAGGTCGGGGCGCCCTTCAGTGTCGATGCGACGCTCCTCCGATGTTGGGGCCAGGGCAGAGGTGGTCTGACCGGGAGCGAGTCGGAAGTTCGATGATGACCGACATTGGAGGAGCGGCGCGTACAAGTACCTCGCACTCATCGCTGCCCACAATATCTTCCCGTGCAAAAATCAGCTACGTAAGACAGTATTGAGGTTAAGTTTGACGAGGGTTGTAGGAAGCCGCCGAGGAACACTCGAGCTCGACGGGGGCATGGCGCAGGCCCGCCCTCCTCACGTCGCACCCTGCCCTCGTCTCAGGTTGCGGCCGCCACCGAGACCCGTCGATGGGGGTGCAAACCCCGTTGGATCCGCGCAAGGTTCTCGCGGCCCTTCCGAGTCTTCCCAGCAAGCCTCTAAGATGTTGCAGGTATTGATGTTGGCGGTGGAACCGCAGCGAACAAAAAAGAAACGCCTATGGCGGGGCCACAGCTGAGGGAGGAGGGAGCATGGGGGAATCGAATTAAGGAAGCAGGGGGAAGGGGGAGGGGGAGGTGGAGGGCGACCGCTGGTTTCTCCGACGGCTGATTTCGCCCGGCTGGTTTCGCCGCCTGGCGAAACCAGCTCCGTCGGCGAAACCGGCTCCATCGGCGAAACCAGCTGCCGTCGGCGAAACCAGCTGCCGTCGGCGAAACTGCCCGATCCGACCCGCCCGCTAGATTCCGCCCGCCCGACCCGACCCGCCCTTAAGGGGTCGCGCGTGCTCGGTCGAGCGCCCCACACCTTAATGTTCCGCCCGCCCGACCCGACCCGCCCGTTACGGCCTGCCCGACCCGACCGGACCCGCCCGTTAGGGTCCGCCCGCCACACCCGATCCGCCCGCTGGGTCGAGCGCGCCCCACACTTTCATGTCCACCCCGACAGACCCGACCCGCCTGTCAGGGTCCGCCCGCCCGACCCGACCCGACCTGCCCGTCAGGGTCCGCCCGCCGGACCCGACCCGACCTGCCCGCTAAGGTCCGCCCGCCCGACCCGACCCGCCCGTTAGGGTTCGCGCGTGCTCGGTCGAGCGCGCCCCACACTTTGTTGATGTCCCGCCCGCCCGAACCGACCCGCCCGTCAGGGTCCGCCCGCCCAACCCGATCTGACCCGCCCACTAGGGTCCGCCCGCCCGACCCGAGGGTTCGCGCGTGCTCGGTCGAGCGCGCCCCACACTTGGGTCCGCCCGCCCGACCCGACCGACCTGCCCTAGGGTCCGCCCGCCCGACCCGACCCGACCTTCCCGTCAGGGTCCGCCCGCCGGACCCGACCCGACCTGCCCGCTAAGGTCCGCCCGCCGACCCGACCCGCCCGTCAGGGTTCGCGCGTGCTCGGTCGAGCGCGCCCCACACTTTGATGTCCCGCCCGCCCGGCCCGACCCGCCCGTCAGGGTCCGCGCGCCCGACCCGACCCGTCCCGCCCGCTAGGGTCCGCCCGCCCGACCCGACCCGCCCATTAGGGTTCGCGCGTGCTCGGTCGAGCGCGCTCCACAGTTTGATGTTCCGCCCGCCCGACCCGACCCGCCCGTGAGGATCCGCCCGCCCGACCCGACCCGACCTGCCCACTAGGGTCCGCCCGCCCAACCCGACCCGCCCGTCAGGGCTCGCGTCGGCGAAACCAGCGCCGGCGAAAGCAGCGCCAGCGAAACCAGCCGCTGGCGAAACCAGCGGGGCGAAGCCAGCTGAGCGAAACCAGCGCCGGCGAAACCAGCGCCAGCGAAACCAGCCGTCGGCGAAACCAGCGGGGCGAAACCAGTGCCGGCGAAACCAGTGCCGGCGAAACCAGCTCACGCCGAGGTGGAGAGGGAAGAAGAGGAGGGAGGAGGTGGAGGAGGGGGAAGGCAGGGGAGAAGGGGGGAGGGTGGAGGACGAGGAGTAGGGAGCAGTGGGGAGGTGAAGGGGGAACCAGAAGTGGTGATGATGAGAATCGAGTTTTTTGTTGTAGGCAGCAAACTGCTAGACTCGCGGGCGGACTAGAAGGCTGGTTGGAAAAATGCGCAAGCTCTGAGGAGAGAGGTGAGGTTGCGTCGAAACGGCACGGAGGAAACCCCAGCCGAAAGATGAGGCCATCCGCGAAACCCGCGCGGTAAAGCCTGCCAGATCTGTGGTGAAGAAGACGCCCTCTAGGTCGAAGGCGAAGCGCCCGCGCCGGCGGCCAGCATGACCCTCATCGGAAACTGGAACATATACATTACCAGTGACGGGTGTTGTTTCAATCCCATGACTTTTTTGAGGGTCGGGGACGACGTCGGGGTGGTGTGGTGTATACTTCTCCCCGTTTTCCAAGGGAAACAACGAAACATGTATACACTAGGATCCCGTATACACCAGGATCCGCGTTTCTGTGCGAGTTTCAGCGCAGGGTCGGAAAAAGCGTCGGGGTATAGAGCTCGTTTCCCTACCTCATCTCCGCGTCCAGCGCGGCGGGAGATATCCTGCATGCCGCCAGCAGCTGCGCCAGGTTCCCCGCCCGCTCCACGTTCGCACCGAGGAGTTTTGAAGTGCCCACGGGAGGCGGACAGGTCGGCGGCGCCCGCCGTCACGACCGACGTTGTCTTGCACTCGTCGGCCAAGGCACCGACGCCTTCAGGAACCACCTCAGGCCCCCGATCAGCCCCTCCAACCGCCGTCGAACCCGAGTCGACAGCTTCATCACCGCAAAGAGATCGGAGTTGGATAGACCTCCTGCCCTGACACGCCGATTAGTGAATTGGCCGTTTTCGGTTCGCGAGAGGGCGTCACGGCCGTTATGTTTGCGGGTCCAGGTCCGTCGGTTTCGGTCCTAGGCCGTTTTCGCTAAAGGGTGGTTTACTAAAGGAAGGTTTGTCCACCGCCGAAGAAAACATTGGTGTGTACGCCTTTAGCTCGGGCCACTCCGCAAATAGTTTTCACCTCCAGCGTGCCATTGATCCTGCAGTCGTCGGCACCACGACCGACGCCTTCAAGAGACGCCCCATCCAAGCGCTGGGCGGCCAGCTGCTTCTCCGAGTGGTAAAGCCCCTTCTCCTGATTCGTATTCTCCTGCTTGTTCTGCCTTTTCTGGAGGCGCTTGAGCCTCTTTTTCTCCCTGGCCTTCCCCCTCCCGTCGTTCCCTGTGTAGAAGATCTCCGCTTTGCCTTGGGCGGAGGCGGTGGCAGCGGCAAGAAGACTACACTCGGGAACGTCATCGTCCTGCGCGGAGGAGGCGGCGGACGAGGTGTGCTCGGAATCGCCCGCGTCCTTGGCCCAGGAGCCTCGAGCACCTTCTAAGCCACATGCATGAACGGGTCCGTCACGCTGAGCACTCCTGGCGGTGGAGGAGTCGGCGGATTCCTTTGTAAGCTGGTCGTGCACGTCGCGCGAGCATGCAGAACTGTTAGTTCCAGCACTCCGTACTTGCCCTTGCTCTTCTGCTCCTTCTTGTTGTTGTTTTTCTTCTTCTTGAAACCGAAGCCCTTCTCCCTGCGAGGCCTCACCCTGCACCGAGGCGGCAGCAACTCGCCGTCCTTCCACCTCTTCTCGAAGTGGAAGTCCGTGGACTTGCCCTTGTCCTTGAAAGGGTGCCTCGTCCTGCGCGGCCCGCACGGCCAGGCAGGCGTACTCGCAGAACATGGGGCAGCTGGCGGCAGAGGCATGGCCACCAGCTCGTCCAGCTTTTGAACCCATCCCCACCCACCTTGGGCCCAGGTGGATGCGCAGGCGGGCGCGGCATCTTGCGGATGCCAGCGGGCGTTTGCGCGAGGTTTGGCTCCCGCCCCCTTCAAGTGACCAATTGGTGCGCCCCCCACTGGTGACGATGAGGAGTGGCCGCGCACGTTCAAAGAGCTCGCCAGACGCTAAGTTCTCTGGGGTGAAGTTGCGCATGAACTGCAGCAGGACGTAGGGCAAGGAAAGGATGGCCACAAGCTCGGTCTTGACCGTCGCCAGTATCGGCGGCCCTCATGCCGCACAGAACATCTGGTCCAGCGCCGAGCCGTCGCGCACGAGCCGAGGCGCCGCAGGTCGGGGCCTGCTGCTCGAGCCGACGAGGCTTGAGCCGAAGTGGCTGCGGTCGATGCGGGATCGAGGAGGAGCTGGGCTGAGGGAGGATGGAAGGAAGAACAGCGAGGAGGGTGGAGGGTTGAAGAGCAAGGAAAGGGGATGATAGAAGGGCGGGGGGGCGAGGGAGAGGGAGGAGCTGTGGTGGAAGAGGAGCAGGGAGAAGAGTGAGGGAAGAGGGAAGGGTCAGGGGAGGAACGAAGAAGGAGGAGGGAGGAGGTGTGGGGCAGGGGGGAGGAGGGCAACAGGAGGAGGGAGGCTGGAGAAGCGAGAGTGTGGGGGAGCAGTGAGCGGTGAGGGAGTGGAGAAGAGAGGAGGGAAGCGCCCCCGCAGGTGGACCCTCTGGACGCCTTCATGGCGGATATCAACGCAGAGGTCGCCGAGCATCTGCGAGCAAGCACGGGTGCAGCTTTGCTCGCTAATTGATATCGTCTTCGTCGTTGTTGTCATCCACCTTCTGCCCTCCCGCCTCCCTGTCCCTTTTGTTGTTCTCTCTCTCTCTCTCTTTCTCCCCTCTTCCCCCCGGGCATCCTTATCCTATCAAGACTCTCCAGCCTCGTCTCCAGCATCTGACTACGGAGCGACCGTCTGAGATTCGGATCGTTCGTTTGCAAGTCCGGCCAATGTCGAATTTGGTGTTGGGGTATTCGATCATGTCATGTTTACCCGCCGTTTGCGCTCAGTGTTGTCCGTGGTGGCTCCAGCAGTCACGTTCCGTTGCCGCTCCTCGGTGGCTCGGGCATGGAGACGGGAGCCATCAGTGGGTCTCAATCTCCATCGCGAACGTGCGCAGGGCCTTCGCAAGATCGTGGGCCAGTAGGAAGAGGAGGAGGATGAGGAGGAGGCGTGCTCGTCAGCCAATGTTTACTTACAGTTCAGCAAGAACTGTTGCCTGGCAGGCACCAGTTTCCGGCGCATCCAGGACGGCGCCCAGTGTGTTTGTCTGCTGTGGGTGATGCTCTTTTTCTTCAGCTATTCCGTAAGCATCAAGCATGAACGGCTTGTGGTTGACTGTGCTACGTGCCCTCGATCGCGAGCGCGGGCGAGTGCTTCGTCGCGTCCCGTATCATATTCGTGCAATTCTTCTTCTCCAACAGCCTTGCTTCCGTGGTGTTTCCGCTCTGACGTCTCGCGGGCTAGGGGCTCGCCCAGAGATCGGATCGCATCTTGTCGTTGTGCCACTCCCCGCATCACATATTTGCTGTGTTTTCTCGTCCGCTCTGCGCGTGGGCGAAGGTACCACCTCATGCTAATGATTAGGTAACATTATCTTCGCTGCACCACCTCATGCTGATGATTATAACGTCTTTCCTTTTTTAATATGCGCGATGTCCCAGTCGCTGTGGCGCCGGCACGGGCGGAAGGTGGCAGTAGCCTCGGCGGGGACGGCTGAGCATCGTCTGGCCCGCGGTCCAGATTTATGGCGACTTGAAAGGAATTAACGCTGGAGGTTTCGATCGTCATTCTCGGCGTGCGGGGCCAGCCAACGGTACAAAAACAGCTCACGATGAAAAGATTGCCCCAGGGAAGGGAAAGGTCCGAGGGGGGGCCAACGATTCAAAACATGTCTAGTCGTCGGATGTCTTAGTGGGGTGGAGCACTCGCTGAACGAATTGCGGGCTGCCTGCGGGATGCCCGGCGCAGACGGGCATGCGCTTCCATGGAAGGAGCCAGCGCACCCGCCATGCACGGATGAAGCCGTGCCCTCCCCGCGGTGGCAGGATGCCGAGGAGAGCACGGTTTTCGAGTGAGGTCCTCCTTCCCTCTTCGCGCCCAGGAATTCCTTCCGACCACGGGGCGCAAGCACGCCCTGCCTGTGTCCATTGCAAGGAGCAGCACGCCCTCGCCAGCGGTGGGTTTGATGACTCGCCGCCCGCTGGTGCGGAGTCATTCTTGATCAGCACCAGCGCCGTGCACCAGGGCCGATCTGGTGAAAGCTGAAAAATATCTGGGCCGCCGACAGACAGCCGCCACATTTCTGGCAGCGTTCGCCGACCGTCGTCTGCCATAGCGAGCCCATCACATGCGACAGAGAGTGGCACTTGGCGCCCAAGGGAGAAAAAGGGCTGACCACCATCAGCTACATCGCCAGGAGTCTGGCCCAGCCGGAAGAGAAGTCTCGGCGAGAGGCTCTCCCTGCGATGGCGATAAGAAGTTCGAGGAGTCGCCGCTGGTGGCTGACTGGGACGAGCGGCACGTCCAGTCTCCAGTCGAGGTGTTAGCGAGAGCGCGTTTGGCGCCCACGGGGCTGGCCAGTCCGCACATGGACGGACCGTACCATGGGTCGACTGGCGAGCGCGCGGAGCCAGGCGCCGACTGGCGAGAGCGCTGTGGGAGAGGAGTACGTCGCGGTGCGTGTGCCTTCCCCCCCCCCCTCCCTCTCATCCCACCTTCCTCATCCTCCCTTCCTTTCTCCCCCCCCCCTTCCCTGACCCCCCCTCCCTCCCTGACATTCCCCTCCTCCCTCTTCTCCCTGCTGCACAGACGTCGAGAGCAGGTCGCCGCCAACGAGGCCGCAGCCACCAGCCGGTCCGCCAAGGCCGCCAAGGTGGCCGAGAAGCCAGCGTGGGCCGAGCTCTCAGCAGGCCTGTCTTCGATCGGGGTTCGATCAGTCGGCCACCAATCTCTCGGGCGACACCAGCTTCTCCTCCTCCTCCTCCTCCTCCTCCTCCTCCTCCTCCTCCTCCTCCTCACTATACGCCCACACAGATCCGGGCTGGCGGAAGGACAGCTCTTCATACATCTCTGGCGCGGCTCCCAGCGAGAGCCGCATTTCGAGAACGGCCCTCCACCCATCCTTGCGACTGTGGGGAGGTTCTAAGTCGAGTGTAGCTAGGCTGCGATAAGGCTCTGACCACATCTTGAAAATGGCCTGCCCTCCACCCGTGTAGCCGCTGGATGCGTTCTGGATCCACACGTCTTTGAGTGGTTGGTTTCTTGGACGTGTTAGGACTGTTAGTCGCAGGGATGTTCCAGGCTTGACGCCCAGCCCGCCCTATCGACAAGCCTCGTGGTGCGATGATGATAATATCGTTTGAGCAGGCGAGGAGGTCGGTTTGTGGGTTGGGGGTGGGGCTAAAGCGACATACACCTTTGATAAGTAATGTGCTAGAAGTTGAGGTGCGGTCCAGGATCAAATCCAGACCATGGGTTGCGCACTTCGCCAGCCCGTGCTGCATAATATTGTTCATTTGCCCGTTTGTTCGTGGGCATTATGAAGTTGTTGGATGGTGGTGGTCGTTCCCCAGGTTGTCGTGCGAAGCTCGCGTAGGGGAGCATCTGGGCCGTCAGCATGTTTGGCGCCCACTGGCCCTCCCGCACCATTCGACCGCTCTTGGGCCCCTTGTAGATCGGGGATGGACAGAGCCCCGTTTAGTGAAGTTTGGTTTGATGAAAACGACCTCGGGCCAAAACCTGGCGGGCGCAAGCCTGGAAAATGACAGCCGCGGCGCCCTCTCGAGTACCGAAAACGGACAACTCACTAATCGACGTGTCAGACTGGGCGTTCTGTCCACCCCCGAGTAGACAATCTCTGGGCTCTCTTAAAGCCATCAAGGGGGGCCTCGGGGATGGCTCTGTTGGGGTCACTTCGGGGCCCGAGAAGCTCATTGGAGACGCGCAGAGGCGAGCAGTCCCAGCACAGTTTTTGTTGTATACATGTGGGGCTTTCCTGGGGACCTCCTGCGAGAGGTTCCTTGGCCATCTGAACACGTCTTGAAGTCCTTCTGGGCAGCTTGGACCATGAAGGGCCATGCTGGCGCCATCTTGGTCCAGAGATGATAAGTACACATGGGCACCGAGGAGTCCGTCCCCAATCCGAAGGTTCCCCTGGTGTGCTGTCTCACGAAGGGCCAGCTGGCATCCCAGTCAGGCAGCCCAGCTTTGGGGAGCAGCTGGACAGGTCGGCCGCTCTCCCGCTTGGGCCACCCAGGCAGTCAGACGACCTCGGCGCGAGCGTTGATGCAGCAGCCAGGCCATCCTCGCGCTCCGAGTTTTCATCCTGAGGCCATCTAGGTGCCAGCATGGGATCTGTCAAGCAGTGGCGAAGCGTCCTTGCTCGCCTTTAGGCCTACCAACTAATGCTCTAAGAACCTTTTGTGGTTTCAACGAAATGTTCTTAGAACATGGCTGGCTGGGACTGTCTTGTTTTAACACATGAGGCGTGCGCTCGAAGAACGTAGTTTTTTGTTTTTAGAACATTTGGGGGTTCTGAGAACACTTCGTGGTAGGCCTATAGAGATGCCGGGACGGTCGGTCCCTGCTCAGATCTGATAGGCTTTGATCCGCGCTCCCAGCGGGCTTTCGCCCGCCCTTCGCCCGATGATCGGCCGCGGCCTGGGGCCCGGCGGGGCCCGCAGCCTCCTCGGGGGCGCACTCACGTGCGCGGGCCAGACAAACAGCAAGTCCACCGCACTACGGTAGGTTCGCGTCGTGTCGACCGGCGGCGACCCCGCCCGCGGCGTTCAACGTTGAACGCCGCGGGCGACCCAGAATCGTTCGATGTGGAACGATTTGGACGTCAACGTCCGATCGTTCAAGGTTGAACGATCACCGCGGTGTCAGGAACCAACGCCGGGGTAGACGCGACACGAACCTGCCGTAACTGGCGATCGTTTTCTTATTCGTCGTTTTGCCGATCGGCGCGGGCCCTCGCACCCCCACCCTCCCCCCTGATGGAGTAGACCTTGGCTGTTTCGGGCGCTTGCTTCAAGCAGGTGGACGGCCTCCCCCAGGGTTGCCCATGGGAGTAATGCTTCAAACAGTTGTATTAAGCAGAGGTCCAGAGCCAGATGTTCCCCTCCTTCCCGCTGAATGTCGAAACGTTGAATAAAAAACGCTCACCTGATTTTATTACAGAGGCTTACGCCTTTCCGCCATGCCCCAGACGAAGTGAGGAGCCCATCGAATTGCTAGGGCGAGTTCTGGTCTACGATGCCGTGCATGACGACACGGGTTGCAGCCATAGTGGGCTAATATATGTTTGGGAGGTGGGTCGCCAATGGCGCAGTCGCCTTGCATGGAGGCGATCGCCGGGGCCACAAGGGGGCTTGAACGCGACGCTTGGGCAGTTTGCGTAGTTGTCGCAACTCGTTGGTGAGCGGTGGAGGGTCGATGTCGAGGTTTCTTGAAAACGCACGACAGCCCGAGCACGGGGCCAGGAGTCTGACAAATGCCCGACGTGTGGCGTGTTGCACCTTGGTTGTACGATCTCTCGAGCCAGTGAAGACGAATAGGGCGAAAAGTACGCTGTCTTAAGTCACCTGGACGACGTTTGTGTCTTGGGGCCCTCGTGGGGGTAATGTTAGGTCCCTCTTGGGGCGTCTTCGAAGCCTTTTGGGTCGTCTTGGTGCTATCATGGGTGTTTCTGAGGCTTCTTCTGCGTGTTGGACCGAAGTTTCTAGCTTCCCGCTGGAGCGGAGTTCGCCGCCTCGCCGCCGACAAACAAGTGTTGGAGCGCAGCTGGCACAAACTTAAACGAAATCTTAGGCACCTTGGAGGCCACGGGGTTCGGTTCTGGAGGCTCTGGATGCCCTGGGGGTGCGTTGGCGAGAACTTGGGCCCCCCTCGCCCCCCGCCTCCTCAACGCGATGTAGGATTAAGTCGGGCACGTCCCTCCACAGGGGGGAATTATCTTGCACAGGGTGTCTAGAGCTCCAAGCACTTTATTTCGGCACGGCACCCCCTCCATCACCCACCCACCCACCAGCCAGTGCGCCCCCAGCGCGCCCCCATCTCCCCCACCTCATCCCCCCACCAACCAGCCTGCGCGCCCCCTCCGCCCCGACCGTTTTATTTCGGCACGGCACCCCCCCGTCCCACGCGCCCCCTCCGCATCCCCCCCACCCACCAGCCAGCGTGCCCCCTCCGCCCCAACCCATGTAATTTCGGCACGGCACCCCCCCACCCACCCAGACCACCATCCCCCCACCCACCAGCCAGCGCGCCCCCTCCGCCCCGACCCTTTCTATTTCGGCACGACAACCGCCCCCCATCCCGCGCGCCCCTCCGCATCCCCCCCCCCCATCAGCCAGCGCGCCCCCTCCGCCCCAACCCTTTTATTTCGGCACGGCACCCCCCATCCCGCGCCCCCCCGCTGCATCCCCCCCACCTGCCAGCGCCCCCTTCCGCATCCCCCCCACCCACCAGCCAGCGCGCCCCTCCCGACCGACCTTTTTATTTCGGCACACGCCCCCCCATCCCGCGCGCCCCTTCCGCATCCCCCCACCCACCAGCCAGCGCGCCCCCTTCCGCCCCATCTTTTTTTTTTCGGCGCGCGGCAACCGCCCCCCAACCCGCGCGCCCCTCCGCATCCCCCCCGCCCACCAGCCAGTGCGCCCCCTCCGCCCCGACCGCCGTTTTATTTCGGCACGGCATGCCCCCTTTCCCGCGCGCCCCCGCCGCACCCCCCCCCCCCCACCAGCCAGCGCGCTCTCCCTCTCCACCCGACCCTTTTACTTCGGCACGGCAACCCCATCCCCCACACCACCAGCCAGCGCGCCGCATCCGCCCCGACTTTTTTATTCCGCACGCCCCCCCCAATCTCGCGCGCCCCTTCTGCGCCCCCCCAAAAACCACCAGCCAGCGCGCCCCTCCACCCCGACCCGTTTAATTTCGGCGCGGCGCCCCCCCATCCCGCGCGCCCCCCCCCCCCCCCCCCCCCGCATCGCCCGCGCGCCAGCGCGCCCCCCGCCCCGACCCTCTATTTCGGCACGGGACCCCCCCATCCCGCACGCCCCCCCATCTCCGCATTCCCCCACCACCCGCCGGCGCGCCCCCTCCGCCCCGACCTTTCACTTCGGCACGGCACTCCCCCCCATCCGCGCGCCCCTCCGCATCCCCCCACCAGCCAGCCAGCGCGCCCCTCCGCCGTTCGGAACGGCACCCCCCGCCCCCCACAACCACACCACAAACCCCCACCAGCCAGCGCGCCCCTCCGCCCCGACCTTTTTGTTTCAGCACGCCCGCCCACCCCCACATCACACGCGTCCCCTCAAATCCCCCCACCCGCCATCCAGCGCCCCTCCTCCCGACCTTGCATTTTCGGCACGGCCCCACCCCCCCAACATCCCCCCACCAACCAGCCAGCGCGCCACCCTCCGCCCCGACCGTTTTATTTCGGCACGGCACCCCCCCGTCCCACGCGCCCCCTCCGCATCCCCCCCACCCACCAGCCAGCGTGCCCCCTCCGCCCCAACCCATGTAATTTCGGCACGGCACCCCCCCACCCACCCAGACCACCATCCCCCCACCCACCAGCCAGCGCGCCCCCTCCGCCCCGACCCTTTCTATTTCGGCACGACAACCGCCCCCCATCCCGCGCGCCCCTCCGCATCCCCCCCCCCCATCAGCCAGCGCGCCCCCTCCGCCCCGACCCTCTTATTTCGGCACTCCTAATCCCGCGCGCCCCATCCGGATCCTCCCACCCACCAGCCAGCGTGCCCATCCGCCCCGTTTCTTTATTTCGGCACGGGGCCCCCCTTTCCCGCGCGCTCCCTCTGCATATCCCCAACCAGCGCGCCCCCTCAGACCCGACCTTTGTATTTCGGCACGGCCCCCGCCATCCCGCGC